GTGCTTATCTGGCTCATTAGCATAACAATACTACACATAAGGCTAATTCAAGTTAGACGGTTTAAACCAGCCAGCTTCCAATCCTGTTAAAACAGTTAAAAGTCATTGATTACACGCGTTGAACTTAAAACGCAAGCAATGCTAGTAGCGCTACTTGAATGCGTCGCAGTGCTCCATGGCAATCAAAGCTTTCTGATTAATAATCATGACGCGTACTAGCACAAAATTATCATGGTAAATATTTTGTCTATCAGGAGAATTTCTAATGTGCGCCATTTTATTTTATTTTAGAAGCAAACTTCAAAGGAAAATCGACCGATGGTTACAGAAGAAGTCATAATTCCTCTTAAGTATGTACCAGTTAGAAGCACCCAAGGCCAAAACTTCTACATGCGAAATTACCCAATCGGTAACGATCAACGATATTTGAGCGTGGAGGGCAATAATTTGCAAATGACAAACGCAGCAACAGAAACCAAATGTAAGACAAAAAAAAAAAAAAACAACAAAAAACTCCTATTTCACCTGAGTAGCTGGAGGCCCTAGACATGTATTTTATTTCGCTCAAAATCGTAGGCTCAAAGTGGTAGGCCTACAGTAGGCATACATTGCAATAACTATAAAAATAGCAATAACATAATACACAAAAAAAAAACAACAATAACACGAGTTACTATATTGATTAATGAAAAATGTATATTTGAATATTATTTAATTTTTGTCTTTGTAATTGTGATTTGAATATTTTTAAAAATATTCAAATGTATATTTGAATATTTTTCTTTAATTTTTGTCTTTGAAATCGGAAATTGCGGCTGCGGACATAGATTTTATAACTGCTTTTATATTAATTATAACTCTGAAAATGTTTTTATTGTAGGCAAATTTCTAGTAAAGACGTACCCCCATTTTCCTCAAATCGCAGTGTCATTTCAACACGTTACGTCTTCAAAGTTCATTTCTGCCACGACAACACAGAATGTTACATTAATTGTAAGTAGACCATGTATCACAATTCAGTAGAAGAATCACTTTAGGGGACACATTCGGGACCAAATAAATAATAAAGGTGTCCCCTGAATTGGAACTGACCGGTGTTAAAACATATTTTCCTCACTCTTTGGTAAAGACATTGTCCTCTTAATATACAGGCGGTCCTCCTAAATTAGGCGGTCCACCAAAAAGGAGGGTTCTACTGATCTATCTTGAAGAAAGTATTATTAATCAATCAAACAAGTGAACAATTACATTTATTTAGCCATTGCAAAACATACACTTAAAAAAACATAATATGGTTAAACATAAAATATTAAAACATTAAAATTAATTGAAAGACAAATAAATATATACCGTAAAACCTCGAATAGAAGCACTGGGCTTCCTTTTTAGGATCTTTGAATGGGCTTTTTTTTGCGATGGGCTTCTTTTCAAGATGGGCTTCTTTTGAGATTATTTTGCAAACTAAAGAAGAAGGTTTCTTTTCAAAATGAATGCTGAAAATTTTGGAATTGCTACTATAATCTATTTCAAATATTAATTTTTTTTTAAATACTTTTATCATGCTAGTACAATGAAATAATATTGATACTGACACGCTATCATAACAAACAAAGATAACGTTAGTTGTAACATAGAGGAAATAGAACTATCTCGAAAGAAGCCCATTATATCCTGATGGGCTTCTTTTCGATATTACTTTTGCAAACCAAAGAGGGGGGGGGGGGGGGGGGGGGGGGGGGGGGGGGGATTTTGAGGCGGAATTAAATTACAAGTGAAATTATTTAGTGTCGTCTAATTTGTATTATGTATTAAAGTTTTTTTTTTCTTTGAAAGGACTCTACTCCTCCACTTATTTTCCAGTCGTCTGACAGTAAACTATTCTTCAGAAATTGGGACAGTGGTTTGGATCATTATTACTTTGAGTCCGTTACAAATCCAGGTTAGTACTGCCAAAAATAAACTAAATAAATTTTTGTTATTTTATGTTTATACCTTCGGCCCCTGGACGCTTTGGCTTAAATGGCTGCAAAGATATTATCTTAACATTTTTAGAGTTTTCATTTGTGCCATCTAAGAACAAAATAGCTCAATGTGTTTCGTAAAGGTTTAATAAGAATGATCAACCGATGTCCGTCAAAGTACCATAGACCACTAAATATTTACTCTGTATAGAAGCTTGCATTTTTGACGTACTGTATGGGTCATTTTTAAATTCCAAAATCAATGGCCTACAATTTAACTATGATGTAATTTTTTATCTCCATGAAGGTCACTATTTGGCTTACAACCGCGTTAATGATGACGTCAAATTACTCCAGTTATCAGCTTCGAGTCTTCAAAACAAAACTGGAAACGCTCTCGATGCCTTCTTCAGACATGTTCCCCTCAACTAATGGATAATCAGCAGATAATGGACTTTTCTCATAAAACCCGCACCTTTAATACTGTTGATACATACGATTATTCCTGTGTATTAAATGACACGTTCTGATTACTTTTAATTGACATTCCGAAAAGATACATTGTGACGGGGAAACTTTATAAGCTTAATTAAAATGTATTAAAATAAATCAATGATATATTGCCTGTTTTGATAAGCGTACTTATAAAAAAAAAACTTATTTTGTAGTTTTTAAAATCTTATTTAAGCAAATAACATTACTGATGCTTATGTAATTAAATAAGAATCAATGTTATACATAAATATTACTACCTACAGTATACTAAGTATTTATTTATACTTGTGCAATCTTGAGCTGTGGAAAAAGTTCCGTATACAATTTATTTATACAAAATGTTTGCCTATCTATTTATGAAACATTACAATACAGCCATTTATTCTTCATTGATTAGTAAATGTTATTATTAATCTCTGCTGTGAAACTATTTAATATTTATACTGTATATTTATATTTAATACTATGCCTTGTTTAATACTGAATTTTACACGCGGCGATTTATTTAATGTAGGCCCCTATCATGTACAGGGTATTTATTATTGTTATTTATAACAGCTCTTATGCTAAGTTGTTTAATAAGTAAAAAAGAAACCAAATATACTTTAAAGTTAATTCTAAACACATAATTACTATAGTAATTGTACTATTCTGCTTATCAACTTAAAAATAGTACATAGTGTGTAATTGTTCAATGCAATGCAATTCTAAACTATTAATACATTGGCTGGATGCAGTTTTACAATTTTGTGCGTATTTTCATTGAGTAGGTTGTCAATGTCACTGATTCGCTACCACTACTAGTAGTGGTACGGTACTAAAGCTTGGTCCATACAATTGCTACACTGTCGCTGCATTTTGTTTTTACTACAATGGACCTTTCCGCTAAGCTCCGCCCCTTGGATATTGTTGCTAAGGTCCCACAAGACGGCAGCGTTAATACGCGAACACGTGCGTTTGTGGGACAACACGTGTGTTTGTAAGACGCGCGTGCATTCCTAGCGCTGTTTTGATTAGTCAGTTGTTAAGTTTGATTGACACTTCGGAAAGGTCTATTGTTGCACTGCGTAGCAGTCCACGCAATCGGGAACGCTCCCTGATTCAACTGCAGCCGGGTTTCCATAGAATCGCTACAAAGTCGCTACAGCGTTTTGCACTGCGTAGCTCCCCTGACCATGGCCAATCAGCGTCGCCGAAAAAGTCGGCGATAGCGTGTAGCGAATTTTATGGAAACCAAGCTTAATGGGGTAAGGGCACCACGAATGGACTAAAGCCTGTCTCTTATACACATCTAGATGTGTATAAGAGACAGATTCAGAGCCACTCCTCACTTCATCATGTAATGCTTCCACTTCACTTTCGCTCCATGGTATAATCAATGTTGCAACCGCGGTATCCGCATCTGCAAATATGGAGGGTTAAGTTAGGTCACATCATAAAGCAATTAGATAAAGGACTTTTAACTGTTACCAGGATAGGGAGCTAGCTGGTTTAAGCCGTCTAACCTGAATTAGCCTCATGCAGTGTGGCTGTGGAAAGTTTTGTTTTTCTGAGCATGTGCAGATTGTGCTTATCTGGCTCATTAGCATAACAATACTACACATAAGGCTAATTCAAGTTAGACGGTTTAAACCAGCCAGCTTCCAATCCTGTTAAAACAGTTAAAAGTCATTGATTACACGCGTTGAACTTAAAACGCAAGCAATGCTAGTAGCGCTACTTGAATGCGTCGCAGTGCTCCATGGCAATCAAAGCTTTCTGATTAATAATCATGACGCGTACTAGCACAAAATTATCATGGTAAATATTTTGTCTATCAGGAGAATTTCTAATGTGCGCCATTTTATTTTATTTTAGAAGCAAACTTCAAAGGAAAATCGACCGATGGTTACAGAAGAAGTCATAATTCCTCTTAAGTATGTACCAGTTAGAAGCACCCAAGGCCAAAACTTCTACATGCGAAATTACCCAATCGGTAACGATCAACGATATTTGAGCGTGGAGGGCAATAATTTGCAAATGACAAACGCAGCAACAGAAACCAAATGTAAGACAAAAAAAAAAAAAAACAACAAAAAACTCCTATTTCACCTGAGTAGCTGGAGGCCCTAGACATGTATTTTATTTCGCTCAAAATCGTAGGCTCAAAGTGGTAGGCCTACAGTAGGCATACATTGCAATAACTATAAAAACTGTCTCTTATACACATCTAGATGTGTATAAGAGACAGAGCTTGGTCCATACAATTGCTACACTGTCGCTGCATTTTGTTTTTACTACAATGGACCTTTCCGCTAAGCTCCGCCCCTTGGATATTGTTGCTAAGGTCCCACAAGACGGCAGCGTTAATACGCGAACACGTGCGTTTGTGGGACAACACGTGTGTTTGTAAGACGCGCGTGCATTCCTAGCGCTGTTTTGATTAGTCAGTTGTTAAGTTTGATTGACACTTCGGAAAGGTCTATTACTGTTGATACATACGATTATTCCTGTGTATTAAATGACACGTTCTGATTACTTTTAATTGACATTCCGAAAAGATCCATTGTGACGGGGAAACTTTATAAGCTTAATTAAAATGTATTAAAATAAATCAATGATATATTGCCTGTTTTGATAAGCGTACTTATAAAAAAAAACATATTTTGTAGTTTTTTAAAATCTTATTTATGCAAATAACATTACTGATGCTTATGTAATTAAATAAGAATCAATGTTACATAAATATTACTACCTACAGTATACTAAGTATTTATTTATACTTGTGCAATCTTGAGCTGTGGAAAAAGTTCCGAATACAATTTATTTATACAAAATGTTTGCCTATCTATTTATGAAACATTACAATACAGCCATTTATTCTTCATTGATTAGTAAATGTTATTATTAATCTCTGCTGTGAAACTATTTAATATTTATACTGTATATTTATATTTAATACTATGCCTTGTTTAATACTGAATTTTACACGCGGCGATTTATTTAATGTAGGCCCCTATAATGTACAGGGTATTTATTATTGTTATTTATAACAGCTCTTATGCTAAGTTGTTTAATAAGTACAAAAGAAACCAAATATACTTTAAAGTCAATTCTAAACACATAATTACTATAGTAATTGTACTATTCTGCTTATCAACTTAAAAATAGTACATAGTGTGTAATTGTTCAAAGCAATGCAATTCTAAACTATTAATAAATTGGCTGGATGCAGTTTTACAATTTTGTGCGTATTTTCATTGAGTAGATTGTCAATGTCACTGATTCGCTACCACTACTAGTAGTGGTACGGTACTAAAGCTTGGTCCATACAATTGCTACACTGTCGCTGCATTTTGTTTTTACTACAATGGACCTTTCCGCTAAGCTCCGCCCCTTGGATATTGTTGCTAAGGTCCCACAAGACGGCAGTGTTAATACGCGAACACGTGCGTTTGTGGGACAACACGTGTGTTTGTAAGACGCGCGTGCATTCCTAGCGCTGTTTTTGATTAGTCAGTTGTTAAGTTTGATTGACACTTCGGAAAGGTCTATTGTTGCACTGCGTAGTAGTCCACGCAATCGGGAACGCTCCCCGATTCAACTGCAACCGGGTTTCCATAGAATCGCTACAAAGTCGCTACAGTGTTTGCACTGCGTAGCTCCCCTGACCATGGCCAATCAGCGTCGCCGAAAGAGTCGGCGATAGCGTGTAGCGAATTTTATGGAAACCAAGCTTAATGGGGGTAAGGGCACCACGAATGGACTAAAGCATTTACGTTTTTGCCTTACCAAAGTTATTACGACTGCAGTTCCTCCTATTATTCTGTGGTCTTAAGGCACAATTTTTATTAATTCAATTTAAGCCACCGAGGCACAGAGGTGGGTTAATCGGAAACCTAATCAGATGACCCTTGATCAAGACACCCTGTCTGCAAATTTCTGGAGCACACCGAACTTTGTAGTACTAATGTTAGTAGGCCTATATGCCAATACTATACATTAAAACCGTATTAATATGTAATAGGGCGTAGGGAGTTTTAGCAAACGAACGAAAACGATAACGAATTCGGTTACGTCATAATTGTTTAAGTCAATCCATATGCCATACAGTAACATCTGTCACAACCTATAGGCCATCGATGCCTTTTGCAAGAATCAACGATCATATTCAGATTCGTATGTATTGTTTTAGGCACGAATGACGATAATGAAGATGACGTAGGACTACTCGTATTCGTTATCGTAAGGTTGCAAAATTTCCATATTGTCCAAATCAGAACTAATGACTACGTATAAGGGGTATATGCGACCAGCCTTAGCGTATGCGGTTGCCGTTTGGAATGGAGGGCTCACCGGATTGCAGGTGGGTCGCCTTGAGGGAATACAGAAGAGAGTATGCCAATTCTTGCTGGGCGAACAATATATAACCTACAGTAATGCCCTTGTTGCTCTCGGGTTGGAGCGTCTCAGTGACCGCCGGGCCAACTTATGCCTTAGGTTTGCAAAAAAAGCCACCACCGTAAGTGAAAGGTTCTTACATGGGTTCCGCCAATGCAATACAACTCACATTATGCAACTCAGAAATGTGAGGAGAGATGGAAATTTTGGCTGTTCCACCACAAGATTTAAAAAGAGCCCTTTGCCATATCTCACAGCCCTTCTAAATTCTTAAAGATATAATTGAATAATTAAAAACAAACTTTAAATTTACATTAAATTTCTCATAATGATGTTGAATACCAGCACATGAGCCTCCTTTAGTACTTTGTACTTATTTTTTTTTGAAAGGAAAAATAATTGACATATGATATAATTATATTTATAAAATGGTGTCCACCCTCCAAGTTTTAGGCACTGCATCTCCTTTTCTGATCAACCTCTCTAGATATGCCTGGTTCTTGTCGACCTTCCCTCTAAGCCCCGATCTTTGGATATTGTTGAGATCCCGAAAAAATCCCGATCCAGACAGGAAGAATATGATGATCGAATCACTAGCCAATAAGAAACTGGAAATTGTAAACGCGTACGTGTGATTGGTTGATGATAGAAGCGTGCTCACTTGCTAACCGATAGCGCTTGCTAATCGTTAGCAGTATCCGGCGCTAACCGATCGGGCGTTCTGACGCAGGTCCTAACGGTTAGCTCCCGATCCGGATACTAGGGCTCTCGTGAGAACCATGCTGTAAGTTTGTGGCTATGTTCTCACACGGCTGCTAACGGTTAGCAGGATCCGGATCCTGCTAACCTTTATCTGCCGTGCGTCCATACGAGAAAATTCCAATCCGGATACCAAAAATATAATGATCGAATTACTGGCCAATAAGAAACTGGAAATTGTAAACGCGTACGTGTGATTGATTGATGATAGATACGTGCTCAACTTGCTAACCGATAGCGCTTGCTAACCGTTAGCAGTATCCGGATACCACTAACGGTTAGCACTAACCGATCGGGCGTTCTCACGCAGGTGCTAATGGTTAACGCCAACGGTTAGCTCCCGATACTAGGGCTGTCGTGAGAATGAGGCTATGTTCTCACACGGTAGCTAACGGTTAGCAGGATCCGGATCCTACTAACCGTTAGCTGCCGTGCGTCCATGCGAGAAAATCCCGATCCGGATACCAACAATATGATGATTGAATCACTGGCCAATAAGAAACTGGAAATTGTAAACGCGTATGTGTGATTGGTTGATGATAGAAACGCCCTCAACTTGCTAACCGATAGCGCTTGCTAACCGTTAGCGGAATCCGGATACCGCAAACTGATCGGGCGTTCTCACGCAGGTGCTAACGGTTAGCAGTAACGGCTAGCTCCCGATCCGGATACTAGGGCTCTCGTGAGAACCAGGCTCCAGGCTTGTGAGACGCGCACCTATTCCTAGCACTTTTCTGATTAGTCAGTTATTAAGTTTGATTGACATTCCGGAAGGTCAAATACAGACCACATTTTAAAGAAAAAATGTAAAAAAACTTTAATTAAGTTGTAAATAATATGTTGGTAGCTTTCAATAGAAAATTATGAGAAAAATGTCCTCACTACCAGAGGTATAGAGAAAAATTTCCTCACTTAACAGAGGTATAGAGAAAAATGTCCTCACTAACAGAGGTATAAATTATACCATTCCATTAGCCTTTACACACAATTTAAGCTGTCTGTATTCAATGCCTGTAAATCAGCAACACTTTATTTGTTTCGATCTGTGGGTTTTTTTAATTTGACATGATCCCTTCAAATCAAATTTATTTATTTTTATTAAGTAGTTGTCCGTATTTTAAAACCACCTGTATATCTAGTATTTGTAACATCACATAATTACATCTTGAGTAGTACATAATATTAATTTACATTATATGTGAACATTACAAAACATGAGAATATATTATTTTAGTAAAAATGCAATTACGTTGGCTTTTTCATGATTTTTCAATTTATTGATAAGAATGTCCTTAAACAGAAGAGACAAAGCCAACTGTCCAAAAAAAACACTGTTCTGATGTAAGAGTTACCTTTGTAACAGAAAGTTGAATAAACAACAGTTGGCCTATGCTATGTAGTGGCAGTGCTTTACACAACAACATGACTAGTATATACAGTATTATGTTTTTAACAAAATCTGATTCCCAATCTAAGTTAGGCGTCATCCTTTATTAATTATTTTCACAAGAGTAGAAACCATATGGTAGAGAGCGATGTACCTTCTTTATCAAGACCAAAAAAAAATCATATTACATACTCTTTAGAGGATTGTTATGCCCCTTTTGACTGTGAATGCAACCTTGTATTTCTGTATACAGTATTCTTTGTTGTATTTTTGCATACTGAAGGTATTAGTGACTGGTACTCTTTTTATGGAATTATCTTCTGCTCTTATCAATCTTTGCCTTTCTTATTCTGTATATTATATATTTACTGTAGATGTTTACTATGTTGATTTTTTTGCATACCTGAATTTCAGTTCTTGGGGAGGGGTGTCACATAAAAAGGTGTGTTTGTACTTTTTCGAAAATGATGAGAAAATGGATGACAGTGGTGGCGCCATCAATGAAGGGTCGGACAACTTAAGGATTTGAAAGGCTTACCTAATCAACCAAAGAGTGTCAATTGATCATAGGATTTTAATCTGGTTTTAAAATGTTAAAACTGGTTTAATTGTAAAGAATACCTTTTATCTTACAATTCTTAATTCTGTAAAAATTACATAGCTTTATTGTTCGCCCCTAACAAATAGTTTTTTCTCCCAGTTCTAACTAACAAGGCTCAAGGCTCCCTAACAGGAGCCTTGGGCCCCCACCGCTCCCAACACTACCAGCACCACCCCTGATGGATATCCCTTTAATGGTAAACATTTACAGTGTTCAGTCAAATAATAAAGTAGCACTTTTGAGATTAGTAGAGATACTGACAGAAGCTTTTGTGTTAACTGTACTCTCCTTCAAAGGAAGTGTACACAAACACTTGTGTCAATAACTACCTCAACTAGTATCACCATCCCCTACTTTTACTTTCTGTGTATTAAAATAGACTTGTTGCTCAGTTCTGTAAATAAATGCACATTACTTGACATTGAATGCAAGGCCACTTGAATAATAAAATTATATGTTGTCAAAAACGAATGCAAGGCCGCTTATTAATATTAAACTACAGTTTTAAAATTTCAATAGCATTATCATCTAATTTGCTGTACTGTAATGTGTGATACAGTATTAGCAATTACTGCGTTATATTTTATGGAGAGAAACTAATATCAATAGCATTATATTAATCAACAGAAGATATACGAATAGCTCAAAGACAGGAACACACTGTGTCAGTTGTACCACCTTCGGCTGATGAATCATCTCTGCTCTCTGTGATGAAGTCTTGATGATGCAACACTGTCTACTGATTGAATATGGCAGCACTAGTGGAACGTTATGAAGAACGACCCGTGGCACATGCCTAGAAGTCGCATTGAGTTCTCCATAAAATCATGTTGGCACAGTGTTTGTCCTGCTTTAATTTGTTAAACATAATATTATTGTGTACATCACTTTATAGGCCATGAATTACAGGCAATATAATATAATTGGATGGTAGTAGAATTTGTCATTGTGTGTTTGGTGATAATATGTTAGGAAAGTTGAAGCTGCTGCAGTTCCGATAAAAGATTTTCTTCAGTTTTCAGTTTTTCTAGCTGATTCTTCTCCAGCTCTTTTCCATCTTTTTGCTGCTCTTTTAACTTCTCAATTGCTTTCAATTTCTGAGGAATTAAATGAAGGTATAAGCTAAAAATTACTAATTTAGAAACACAAATATTTTTAATGAATAAAAATAATTGTTTATACCGACATTAATGAATGTTGCTTAAACTTGTTTGGTGTTTTATAATTTATCAACATTTGAGTCAATGGGGAAAGGCAGGTGAAACTGTAGACTCAACCATAGTGGAGAGAAATTTCTTTTATTTAATGAGGGATTAGATTTGACCTTAACATCTGAAGGATTTTTTGTGAACCTTAATGTTTGTTAGTGAACCTTTAGATCCTATTTTTTGATGATAATAAATCCTGGTGGAAAAGCCATAGTTTATAATAAGTTTATATTGTTTCCTCTTCATGACCTTTGACTTTAGTGTTTGAGCAATAGTCCACGTCGTACTATTGTATGTGTTGGATCTGTATACTTTTTACCTAGTTTCTATGTATTCAATTTATTAAATACTTTTAATACAGTAGATTTAATCGAAGGTGTTCTCTATTTAATGTTTTGGATTATACTCTATTGCACATAAATAAATCTAACCTAATTCTCATCTTCACTTGTAAAACACACCATCTGCAAACATGATAACACTACATGCAAAATTACTAATTTTGTATGTAATTTTTTTGTAAAGTGCAACATCTAGTCCCTAGCGCATAGAGACCATGTATTATGCGCTATATAAGTCTTCAACCATTACCATTACCATTACCATTACATGTGTCTACTTTAAATCTTTATCTGAAATCATTAACAGCAATGTGACAATATTATTGGTACTCTATGTAAATAGCTCATTTTCGTTTCTTGTGTAATTGATTGTTTTAAATTGTCCTTTGTAAACCAGTACTAAGTGTTCATGGTCAGATGGTCGATGACTAAACCGGCTCACCCACCTGGGGCAAATCTGGTGAGGAGGGTGTGTGGACCCCCGGCAAGATTAAAAATAAGACCTGTTAAATCACAGATGAGTTCATGTAGGAACCAATAAGCATCCGAACTTTACCCTAGGGTGATGGGTTAGTGGTATGCCAGGGCAGGCTCACTGTAAAAAAACAAACGCTCCAATAGCAAAATGATGACACAAACAAAACAAGGGCAGCAACCAGCCTGAAGGTTGCCATGGGCTGCACCTGCCTACAACAAAAAGGAAGGTGCAAACCCTCGATGAAGAATGCGAAGACCTGTTCTTCCTTATAACGGTCCACGTGCCATCATGCCGTAAAAGACAGTAACCTTTGTAATGCGGGTTAAACAGAAACTAGACTGAAATTTGAAGGGAAACTCCATTTATTTAATAAATGAAAGATTAACCTCTGGAGGATGCTTGAACTAAACACCAAGAACAGTACAACATATCGAAAATCAACATTCCAAAATGCAAAATTTGAAAACTAAGTGCAAATGGTTCAGACACTCCCTAGATCTTAATCCTAACAGGATAAACATGAGTACAGGAACTAAAAACAAAACCATTGTGGGTTGTGATACATGTGAAGGACATATTATTTCCAACATTATTAGAGCCAACTTCCTTCAAGTAAGGTAAGAAGGTCAATGCCAGTGTACAAAAATGGAATCAGCTGTGCACTGACTTAACAGAGTGCACTTAATGTCAACTGAACAAAAGCGGATGTTAACCTTTAATATCAATAACATAACTATTACAAAAAGTGTTTAGGTACTCAGTTTTTAGAAGAACAGTTCTTTAATTATTTTTCTGAGGCATTTAATAAGCATTATGACTTTGTGTTAACTTTTAGTAATTTAAATTGTAAAAAACCATATCCTGTATATTTATACATTTCTGTAAACATTCAACAGGCAATAAATACACATAGGAAAACAGGTGTAGTATTCATGTAATAAAATGATGTTTTCATAAGTGTTAACATTAGTGTTATAGTAAGAGAATTATAGTTTATTGCAGTAACAGGAAGCCTACTACACAAGAATAAAATGAGTCAGACTTTTTTTCAGAGACAAGTAGTGGTGGATCCAGGTAATCAAAATAGGGGGCCTTTGGAGGAACTTTACAAATATAGGGTCAAGACCATTTAGCACTACCATGGTTGGGGGCTGGGAAACTGGTGATGGCACCTCTAGGTAGCCACAAATTGTACTCTTGAGGTAAACATGAATGTTATTTTAAATATAATTAATTTGTTTTGGGAACCCCAGCCAGAGAGGCCAAACCCTTGATAGCTTAAATAGGCAGTGTTTTTATAGGCACAAGGGGGCTAATCCCCCTGGACCATCCTGGCATGTACCCTTCCAGAAATTGCAACTTTACCCATGCATGTACAGCCTAGAACCAAACCATAGCTGAATTTTCCCCTAAACTTTTACTGCATCAAACTTCACATGCGTCAAACTTCACAGTCTCACACAGATTGTGTGACACTTGGTTGGTTGATGCAAATAATCAAGCCTTTTTTGTGAAGCTTGCAAATTACCTTGTTTAATGCTTTGATTTTCTTTTCTTTTTCTGCGTCATCTCCACTAGTTGGTTGCTGCTGAGAATAAGATCCACCGACAATATAGTTTGTCATGGCAATAGCATCACGTTGATCACTGGACCGGGAGGCCTTAAAAAGATCAATTAATTATACTAATTATAAGATACAAACTGTTTGATAAAGTTCAGTGTAATGCATAATTTTCATCAGCATCTTATAAAAGCAATACCTTGTATATGCCATCAGTACAGTGACATGTTCACTCAATTGACATCAGTACTTTACCAAAGCACCAACTTTTATGCGACATGTAGTTCTTAATTGTCATTAGTGTCTTACCAAAGCACCATCATCTACTTTCCTGCTTCTCAACCTTTTTTAAGTGGCGACTCAATTTCAGAATGCACATTCTGTGGCGACCCAAGGCATGTACTATCATACCTAAATGATATTTCATGTTATGTGCTGATTACTTAGGCCCAAAAGCTATCAACTTTTGATATTGTGTGCTGAATGTTCAATTTTATACAGTAATATTGAGAAATGACTGATCCAGTGATCCGAAATAGAGGGTGCCCCGGAAAGAACTTTCACAAATAGGGTGTTGATACCACCCCAGACTGTGGTTGGGCCTGAGGTAAGAAAATTTATGATTACAGCACTTCTAGATGGACAGAAATGGCACTCTCAGACTTACATTTGAATACATATTTTTTCTCCATATTTTATAATTAAAAAAAATTAGGTGGGAGGATGACGCTCAGTCTCCATTGAATCTGCCAATGTGGAGAATATTTGTTACAATTCTAATTTTGAAATGTTTAAAACAATGACGAATTCTTGACTAGTGACTTGGGTGACACTGACTGGGAAGATATAAATTTTAAAAAAGAAGCTTGTACGTCCCCACTTACTCACATAAAGGCTCAAACGAACTCAAAAAGCAAGAAGTAACTAATCATTTTATATATTATTAATATGAGGTACATTCCTGCCTAATTTTGATTATCCTCCTTGGACAGATTGGTGACAGTGCAAACTTCAGAGTTGATTCTAGGTTTTGGGCTAACAATAATTTCTAGCTTTCATCTTCGCAGCTATTCGCCTGGGTTTATCTCTTAAGTTGAGTCCTTTGTAGGACTGGCCGCCGCTATACAGAAGTATTTTCCACTATGTTTCGAGATGCACTTTACCAAAGGTTTTTTGTCAGAAGCAATATCGCGACCCTCAGACATGTTTTACCGACCCAAATTTGGGTCGTGACCCATACTGTAGGTTGAAAAGCAGGGTTCTATATGACATGTATTATAATTGTCATCAATGTTTTACAAAAGAACCATCTTGCATGTGACATGTAGAGTAATTGTCATCAGTGCTTTACAATAAAACCATCTTGTATGTGACACTTGTTTTGAAAATTTTCACCAGTAATCTTACCAAGGCACTATCCTGTATTTGTTGTTCCTTAGCTTTAGCTTTTGCCTCTCTTTTCCGTTTGTTCTTCAAGGCTGATTTTGATAAATTGGATTCTAAAAATATAAGATTATAAAGTAATGTTTGATTACTATTGCATATGATTTTGACATTAAAACAAAATGACTCAAGACAGGAAATCAGAACATAAAAATAATGGAATAAACAATATCTGTTAAAACTAAGATTAAGAATATTTGAAACCTTACCATCGACAGCATTTTTCTTCATATTTTGAGCTGGCTCTAATTCAGACTGAAACAAATAACACAGAATATTACAGTGCACCCTCTGATCTGAGACCCCTCCAATTCGAGACCACTTTTTCTAAAAACCAAGCAACCTTCAATCATTTATAACAAAGCTAACCCTATAATTGGAGACCAAACCCTGAGACCACCCCAAATTTAAGGTCTCAAATTGGAGGGCGCCCTACAATTATAACTACAGGTAGCCTACTCAAGCAAATTACAAAAAAAAAAAGTGTTGTGTTGTCCAAGCACAGTGACAATGAGCCTTTCCACTAAGCCCCGACTTCTCCTTGGCTAAAATCAAATTTTGCCAAAAAACCCCAAAAAAACTGTAACCCTCCCTAGTTTTTCAAGTTGGCCTAATCACTATCAATTGGTTATAGCTATAAATATAGCTCAACTAAAAAATAATACATCAACTACACCTATGTACAAAGCTTTAATTAAGATTTTGATGAAAATACTACATAGGTTTAGGAAAGTCAAATAGCAAGTACTTGCTTCCAAGACCAATCAATAAAATTAAGTAAGTTAAATTAAATAATAAAAACTTGCTTCCTGCACCAAATGAATACGATTTACTAAGATAAATTGAGTAACAGTACTTAAAAGCATGTTTAGAAAAAAAATATGATTGCTAGGGTAAAATAAGTAGAAGGTAATCATAAGGTACATTAAGCAACACACAATTGCAGCTTAGACCAAAACAGTAAAATCGACTAAGACTAAGATAAATAATCTAAAAAACACTTGCAGCCAATACAAAGCCAATTATAGAACTGATTAGGTTCAATAAAGTTATTCATTCACAACATGACTAACAAACAACTTACTAGCTTTTTTGTTGGGGGCAACCCCCTAGCACCTGGAGGTCGGTAAACTGCAGGCTTAGCTGCTTCGACCTGTGCAACTGATACAGTTGCTTGTATGATGGGTTTCGCTGCAAACACACCAGGAGGGAATGGTTGCCATCCGACCTCCCACAATTCCTCCCCAGCACTGATAGAAGATGATTTTTTCATTTCACCACTGTAATGCCAAATTTTGAAACTGAAAAAATGAAAAAAAAAATCACTAGTAAAAATTTAAATGTTTTGTGGTAATGGCGAGTCGAGTGACCAAGATGTTAGACAGGGGTGCTGCAAACTACTGCTTTAAAATTGGTGCTGGTTTGAGCTGCTCCTCACCCAGGTTCAGTTAGTAGAACCAAGTCTTCTCAAATAAGGAAATGGAGGTCCAGTGTACACAACTGGCTCATGTGCACTTTAAATAGCCCACTGCATCTTTTTCAAGACTTCTAGATACGCTAATGCATATAGTGTACAAAGCTCATTTTCATGCACAGATGTCATATGCTTGCTGGACAAAAGCACAAAAGTACAAACAACAGGCAAGCCTCAACCTCTAAATGCTGTGCTAACATGCTCTCTACGACTTACCCGTTATCTTGTCGTAGTCGTGGAGCGCACGTAGCTGTAACCACGTGCTCCCCATCTGGACACCATTGGAAGAATGTAGAATCAGAAGCCTGAGGTTTTGAAATTAATTTGAATTTGCTTCGATCCCAAAATTCCTGTTGAAAAGAATGTTTATAAAATACATGGTGAATTTTTTACAATGAATATAGGCTGTGTTATTTTTGATAGAATATCTTCAACAGTGTCAGATCAAGAAATTTGAATAGAGGGCCGAGAGAGAGGCTTTCAGTGACATGACGGTTAAAGTTTATGACTAGAAAAAGGCACCCAGACTTTAATTTTCTTGTTTTCTCCATTTCTTTTCATAATTTTAAAAAATTTAGGGGGACCTGGGCCCCTTGAATCCTACACTGCTCAAGTGAGAATCTACCTGTATTGATTGTTTTTTGATATTTTCAATGTTAAATGCTATCTGCTTCATATTTCAAATAAAATACTATACAGTCATTACATTTTTAAAATATCAATGTTTTATATATAAAAATTGTACTGTATACTTATTGAATCAACATTGCGTCCGACAGCTAATGTAATTCAATCAACGCAACGCCACGACGGGCATGCAACAGATCGGTTTTTAATGACGACCGTTGTACGACACAGCAAGGGCCCGGCTTAAGATTCATTAAAAACTTACCATATTGCCACGGAGATTTCCAAAGCCAGCAATGCAAAGAAGTATTCAACAGTCAAGAAAATACAATAGAAAAAAAATGAAATGCTTTTATCAATTGAATTATTATGTATATATAAATTGAATAATTTATCTCATTAAAAATGATATAGATATATGTACCTTGCTGGTAATATTAATAACATTTGTCAATACAATGACTTCAAAGGATATTTGTTCTTTGCAAATAATAAAAATAACAGTGACAAACAAGATAATCTGAGATTACAAACCCTCCCCCGAAAATCATAATCATTTTACAAGAAATAGTTGCAAATCACTTTCACTGGACAAATATAGAACAGAATATTATAAACATTCCTTTAAATGGAAAGGTGCTAATCTTTTTAACACAATAAGTTAAGTAACAAAATCATCAACTAATTTGAATATTATTAAAAGTAACTTCAAGGCATCATTACTTTAGGCTCTTATTTTATATTTTTATATTGTGTATGTAATTTATATCTTTATATTGCTTATATGTATTTTCTTGTATTTTAGCTAAATGTTTTACTATATTTTCTTAAAACTGTTGTACCCAGGGCCCCAAGGGAGACCAGTCTACATGACTGATTGGGTCACCCTGGTTAAAGATTTGAATAAATAAATAAATAAATAAATAAACAAATAAATAAATAAATATATAAATAAATAATTAAATAAATAAATAAATAAATAAATAAATAAATATATAAATAAATAAATAAATAAATAAATAAATATATAAATAAATAAATAAATAAATAAATATTTGATCATGACCGTTTCTTGCCCTCTAAATCTAAAATATTGGTTGCTTCAAATTTTTAGGTTTGCTCCTTAAAATTTAGTTTATCTTAAGAGATAGTAGTTGTATTCCATGCTTGGTGCATTCTTATACACAACTTAACAATTTATTGTTTTTTTTTTCTTCACTTTTTCAAACCAATCTGTATCTTTATTGTGTGATGTTTAAACATGTCCATGCACCTCTAAATAGAGGCTACAGCTGTCTCAAATGACGATGGACCGACGATGAATAAGGTGAAAAAAATTTAATTTTTGGCAAACTGAGTGGATACAATAATATTGATTAAAAAGCGGCCCTTTTAATAAATTTAGATATTATTATAGTCAAAATTAGATGGGCAGAGGCCTAATTCAACAAAGGATCCAGTGAGCACAATGGTCTTTTATACTTTAGTTGCAGAATATGTGAAATGAATGAATGCATGAAATGACGGATGATCACATAGGCCTATGATGGATGAATCCTTTGCGTTAATTCTCTTCTATCGTAAATAGCACCAGTGGACCACACTGTATGGGCATAATATTCCAAGTCCTGGCTTTGCAGCATCGAGTGAAGTTTTCTAACTTACAATAGTAGAATTTTAATAAACTTTAATTGAACAACAAATTAGTATTGTATTTGCAGACTGACATTAAATGTATCACCTCAATGTATTAAATCCATCACCTGTTTCATTTTTTCAGTGATTAAAATACAAGCTCATACAACGACTGAATCATGATCGGCTTACATACCCACAGAGAAGCAGATCGTTCATGCTCACAGACTTGAAAACAGCGCATTTCAATAGAACAACTATTAAATAGTATTTTGTATTTTCAGACTGACAGTAAATGTAAAAAACTTCAGAATCTACTATCAATCATTGTTTTATTGCATTAATTCAAATACAAAGCCCATACAAAGGCTGAATCTTGAGGCCGTAAATGGGAATGGGTATGTCGTGTGTCGTTCTATCCATTAATTGTCTATGCAAAATCAAAATCAAACACTGCTCGCCAGCGATGCACAGAACAGCTGATCACGAGGATGACACAGACTTGAAAACAGCGCATGCGTAAAATACGTTCTATAAGGATGATTATGAATAATTCATGAGAATTTCCCAAACTATCTTACATTACGCAAGCTTGCTGGCCGGACTGCTTCCAGTCCACCGTCTAGAATTTGACACACCCCTACTCTGGCCCACAGTAGATCAACTTGAGTCTGTTTGGCCTAGTCAAACAAGGTCCAACAAGGGTAAAATATGACAGAAGCAAAAGCTGCAACAACATCATCAATAAAATTAAAAACAATAATAATATGTCAAAACAAAAATATAAAGGTACAGTATATTCAATTCCTAATGGTCAATAATATTATGTCAATAAAAAATACATCAAAGGATATTTGTTCCTTGCGGATTGAAGAACACTGAATTCCGAGGTCCTGTGCCAAAGTCAAAGATTGGCTCACACTTGAGGTTGAAGAGCGTTGCTTTAGCTGGCATGACTATCAAGTACCTTAAGGAAAAGTACAGCGGACACACAGAAAAAAAATAAGACATAAGTAAAAAATCAGTATTATTTTATTGGTGAAACTGATACATTTTAAATAAGATGTATTTTTGGGAAGGCCTTCACTATTAGCTTTGGGTATTTGGTCTCTCCTGGGCTGCGACAGATGCGGTTATTGTATTATTTTTTTTTTACATATATTTACATTTATTTTATATTTAATTTCATATTTTATTTGTTATTGTTTGTGCTATTTGCACAAACTATTATAAAATTTAAAAAAATATAACAATTACAGTAAGATGGCAGTAAAAACAGAGGTATGTTTTATTGATGCAAGAAATGGACAAGCATTGTTACTATTGTTATTTACTAAATATTCTACTTTTTTGCATAAAAATCAAGCCAATTTTGTGTTACAAGACTTTAGTCATAATTATGCAATAGCATAAAAAAGAACATAAAAAGATGTGAAAATTATCTACTTTAAAGAATATTTTTAAAATATATGTTTTATTGTTTTTTGTTGTTGGATTATAGATGTAATTAGTAAAAATCAAAGAAGTTTAAGAAAAATTTAATTTCTTGTTTATTGCTAAATATTGCATTTTGAAAACAATAATTTAATCAAATTATCTATCTGATAACATAGTTAGGATACAGCCGTAGACAGCACAGAATTCTGTTGAGTTATTATTCCAATCAACACTGTAAATTGGTCCCTTTTTACCTTAAAGAAAAAAAAAAGTTAGTATTCAATCATGATAATTATCATGAATTACGGTAATCCATTATAATAATATTTACAATGAAATTTACACCAACTCATAATAATAATAATAATAATATGATATAATATTTAATATAATAGTAATAGAAAACAGTAACATTCGCATACATAGTATTAGTCTATGGTGTAAGATTAAAGTATGTTAATGATTAAGTATATGGTGATGAGGATTTTTGGAACTAGGTAACAAAATTCAACAGCTCTGGGAGAGACAGGAAAATTCCTTTGTTATACGATAAGAAGAAATGGCTCACAAATCATTGTACTGTAGTCAATACCCGTTTTACACTATCAGCGGGACTCTGGAATAAACCCGCTTTTACTCCTTCACTGTCGATGCACCGAGTTTCAAGCACTAGAGTTGGGGTTATTTTAAATGGGTGAATGTCAACGACTCCGGTGTGCTGAACCTGAGTTCAACGAAGCTGAATGTTTTCAGGAGAAGCTTCTTCGGGACAGTCCCGCTTTTCACAAACCAGGATTTTAATCATCCACTTTCATTAAAATTATTAAGTTTTTTTGTAAAAATATAACTATTTAAGTATTTTGAACGTATTTAATTAAAAATAATAAACATAATAGTTATATTTTATTGCTTTGGATTGTATTTTTGTTTAGAAATAAATTCTGCTTTTAGTGTACAAATAAATTTAAATGTTTTTCCCTGCGAAACTAAACTTGCTTGCAGACTAATGAGCTGGTTTTCCTCAAAAATGTCCATAGTGGGCATCATTCAACACCGGTATTCAGCCAGAGTTCATAGTCAAGTGTAAATGGTTGTAACCCGAGATCATACCGCAGTTCTTCATTAAGTGTAAATGGGTTTTGGTTCCGGTGTCGCACCAGTGTTTATTTTGGCTTGATAGTATAACAGTGGTACAAGAAAACACTTAATTAGGAGTAGAAGACACTGAGCTTGGGAGTTTGTGGGAGGAGCTTATAGGTAGATTATAAGGCAAGTAACAAAACTCAGACAACGTCGTAATACACAGCCTGAGGAGATTTATGTCTCTTCAGGAACAGTCTTTAGATCGTTCTGATAAATAAAATATGCTTAATCATTTTACGAAGCACCTATCCCTGACAAATAATACCACGCTGATTTGGCCTGTGATGGATAGATTAGAATTTTGATAGAAGGATTGTGGTCTGAATTGTATGATATTGTTTTAATATAAAAGTAATATTCTTGAGATTAATAATAAAATTAACAACAACCCCAAATAATGTTAATAACAAATGCAATAGTGTTCCTATTAAGTGAGATGGAAATACTATACATACCAAGAGCTACTCCACTACTCTCGCCGTTGACAGCGAGATAATGCAGGCCTTGTTCTCCATAGTATGATCCGCCAGTTGAATCAACTTCAGTGGAAGTAATTATCAAAACGGCAGAACCTGAAAATTAACAATTTAAGGACACGCTACATGTTGGGATAATACACAAGAACAATAAAATTCAATATTAGAATTTGGCACGAGTTGGTATGAACACCACAATCTGACGAGCCAAGGCGAGATATAAAGTTAGGCTGGCACCAGTGATTAGCAGATAGTGTGGCGTCATCAAACTCTCACTAAGAGTCTTCTGGTGATGATTGGGCAGTACACTGGGAGACAATCCCCCTACTATTTTCCAAAGAGTGCACTACATTTATTAACATGCACATGAGAAATATTGCTCTCACTTAATTTGTACCTGTTGAAATTAATACTATTCACAAGCACATTACAGAAAATGAAATATAATAAATAAACATAAAAATAAAAGAACCATTTTAATACAATTATAATTTGTCCAAATTTAAAATGAAAAAGTTAATATTGTGTAATATTGGTATTAGTTTTATCTATTTTCAAATTAGTACTCAAATTGTTTTATGCTTTCAAAAATAAAATCAAATAAAAATACCTTTTTTGTTCCATAAAACATCAGCTCTATCAGCTTTGAAGAAACTTTTGTTGGCAATTGCAGCACCAACTGCATTAAGGTTAGGGTACTTAAACATTCTCACAAATGAAGGTGCTCCCTAAAGGCAAGTACAAATCATTAAACAAATCTATTACTCCAACAATAAACCTGGAGAAAGTAAGAGGCTAGCAGCAGAAACGTAATTATTAATTGTCTTCATGATCAGCATCGCGGCTCACGTTGGCATCACTATTGTTCATCATCTTAATTATTATCATCACCATCATCATTAACTGAATTGGAAGAATTTAATTTTGTCATATGCACATGTGCATAATTATATTTTGGCTAAAAATTATATATAAAAACAAACTATCAAATGGCAGAAATATTATATCTCATTACTGTACCTTTAAAATCAAGTTAACTTACTTTGCTACCTGGTACATAGGCTGCTATCTTAAAGGGACTTTCACCAGGTGAGATGAAACAATTAGAGACTTTCTCTAGAATTAGCCTGTTAGCAGCTTGTTCTGAAATAATATAACATAGAACACATTAGGGAAAAGTGTCAAAATATATATTAACAAAACACATATAATAAATTTAACTGAGTATGAATTACAGTAGCTTTTTTAGATTTCAAATCTAATGGTTATGTACATGAATTTTTTTATGAGTCTATCAAAAATATTTAAAAAAATTGACTAATAGGGGGAAGCAGACAATTACCATGTTTAATGTTAAATATCTCAGTTAACGTATAGATTGGTATTTGTGTAATGGAAAGAAATAATAAGTGCATCAAATGATACCACATAATACCCCATGTACGATGCAGTATGTCTGCCTTCTTGAAAATCAAAATTGCGGACAAAAATAGTTTGAGGCAAAAGTTTATTGGAATATCGAATGAATTGCTAATATATGATGACATATGACACTCCCTCTGTATAACAGTTTTACTGAAAAGAAGAAAAAAGTTCCTAAATACAATTGTTGTTTTTATAGTTGGTACAGTACTAGACTTTGTATTAGGCCTCTATGTGAAATGTGTGACTGTAAATAATTTCAAAATAAACATCCTTACTAAAATTTGGTACTTCATAAAACATAACCTCATTGTTTACATCTCTGCTACAGATAGTCTCATCCTCACTCCATTGTGGCATCCTGAAACCAAAAGCAATAAATAATAAACTTTAAATTACAATATATAACAAGATACAGCAGTTTTAATACAAACAAAACCAACAATAACAGGCATATGCACCAATAAAAATAGTTCATACTTTGAATACAAAAACACAACAAATAAAAATGATGATCAGATACTAACCAGTTTGCAAGTTTCTTGTGCACAAAAGAAGTCACTAGTTCTCCTGATTTAACATGCCACAAGTGGAAATTAGCAGTACCAGGAGGAACATCTTTTGTAACTGTAACAACAAAATTAATTGAAAGATTAAAGCCAAGAGAAAGAACATCTATCCACATCAAAGAGAAAATTCTCCCTCTGCAGACACAATAGCTGGGGGTTTCCGGGTAGGGGGGAGGGGTGTGTATTCGTACGCATCATCTGGAATACAAATGTAAATATTAGAATTATTGTACGTACCCTATGTTGTTTTCATTGTAACTTACTCTAAATACTTTGCACAAACTTTACATAGACACAGCATGGACACGGGGGATCCCACTGAAGTCCCAAGCAATGGTGGCACCAATAAAGAGTTCCCCTTCCTAATTGGATTTGTCTATAGGTATATTTTATAAGCATACTTACCAATGTAGGTCTCCCATGTGGCTAGATATGATCCTCTTGGAGAGAAGCTCAAAGCAGTTGTCTTGGGCTTCTGAATTATATGAAGCACTTTTCCTGTCCTAGTCTCCAACACAGACACACTTCAAATGGAACACAATATAAGTAGGAATACAGTACATTAATAAAGGAAAACTAGCCAACTATACTCTTTGATTGATTATTGAAGACACCAATTCTATATACTGATACATGATATACATCTGAGTACTGTAGATAATTCTGTTTTTATTTTAAGTATTACCATTAATATATACTACATCAAGAGGTTTGTAGATAATTATTTCTAATGCAGTGTGGTTTTACTCGATTATCTTCACCACTACCAACTCTACTATCCTCACTTCCTCAACTACCACAGATTCAACACTCTTCAACCATGTCCACCACTAACAATACCTCGACCAGTAGCACCACACACAACACTGCTATAAAACTTACCATTTTCCATCACACCAGGCAAAAAGACTTCCATCTTGACTGAATATACACACTTTAGAAAATTTTGAAGGACTGAAATGCAATAAAATATTGCAATACAATATTGAACACATTCAATTAGTCTTTAGGATGCTTATCTAATGGTTAAGACTTTGAGACCATAACTGGCCACATTATTTTCATACTCCAACCAGTGTTTCACTATCCCTCCACCATGGTACATGTTAGGCTGTTAATGATTTGAAATAAAATTGGCAGCAGTGACAGTGCAAGTAGGGGAAGCCTACCCTGTTGGAAAGGCCAACCCCTCTCACTAGCCATGACATGTCAACATTTTTCTTACCTTTTAATTCTTTAAGCTAAGTTTTTTTAGGTGCACAGGGGCTTAACCACTGATCTCCATCAGTGCTTTGCTGTTGGACCCCACTGGCCCCATTGGAACTTGTGTGAATTACTATCCAACAACTTTGCTTGCTGTCAGGCAATATTCTGGCACCACAAATGATTGACGGTAGTATTGAATTGGCAGCATTACTAGGAATCATCATTTATGTGAGCAGAGAAAACTATATATTGTGCATTATTGAGTGTGCATCAATTAGCCAGGAAAAGACAGGAAAATCATGATTATAGCATTATGCGGCCATCTGTATGCACTATAAAAATTAACATTATAGAACAAATAATCCTGAGCCACAATTACAAAATTTTGCTTATGATCTCATCTTGGATAAAATGATTTTGGAAAAACTTAAACCTTATAGGATATTGAATCCTACTTGCTTCTTCTTCTTCTTCCTCTGGAGGGGCGGTGGGTCGACGCAAACGCACCCCTTGTGTGCCTCGTACTGTTGGGAGAAAACATATGGTAGTAAGTTACAAAACTCAATTTAAGTTGGAAGAAAGCACACAGTTACAGTAGTAAGTAGTGTGTTACTACACTTAATGTAGGCTCCTAAATCAGGGTGAGTTTGCTGAATTTTCTTTGTTTGAAATGGTGATCAGCACCATTTTCAATTGCCACTCTTGTTTTGTTTAAACTTGTTTTATGAATGAGAGAACAAAAATTCTGAAATATTTTTGGTACTTTTGATAATTAATCCAAGTATGAATTACAGTCTTGGCAAATCCGACTACCAGATGGCCGCTAACAAGCATTTAGGCCTATATAATTATTGCTACTGAATTGCCCAGGTTTCATTCTGAGTTCACGGTTTTTGTCTCCAGTTGGGTTTTGTATTTTAAAAAAAACAAATCATATTTGTAAATTTGAATTATATTATAATTGTGTATGTAGACTCTAAATTTATGATTTATTGTAAATGGGAGTAACTGTAATTGTTATTCACCTTAGAAATTTAAATTATATTTACATAATCTAGATGTCAAAGGTACATAATTCATTGGTGTAGTAGTGTGACAAGACTATCAACAATACGGAAATAATGACATCATATCAATTTTCCCCAATATTTACCATTCATAGTCCAAAACCAACTTTCTTAAAGCAAGTGGAAAGAAAAACAATTACGAATGACTAGGATAAGATAAATCATAATTTTTATGAATTTACTGTAGTTATGTTTAATTTTAAATTGTTAACCTAAAAATCAATTAAATAGGACTTCTATACATAAGGCTATAGGCTTCTCCCCCGAATCCACCAGGGCTTTTCCCCTGGCTCCCAGGCAAAGCTTGAGCCCCGCCGAATGCGAATTGTTAACTCAAAATAGGAAATTTTTAATAATTCGTACATAACATCGTACAGGATGTTGTTCACATAAGTGGATCTTTTTCAGCTCGAACTAGCATCCGCTCGAAGTAAATTCTGCTTGAACTAGCATCTGCTCAAAGTAAATTCCGCTCGAAGTTGCATCCGCTTGAATTGACTATTTCTCAATATACGCATACATACCGCAAAAATTTGGCCTACAAGTCCATCTGCGCATTTCAGAAAATAAGGGCTGATTTCTGCACAGATTTTACCAAAAATTAGGTTTTGACCTAATCTTAGGCTAGACCTTATTTATAAACAATGTATTATGGAGTAATTACAATTCTGTGCAACTGTTTTCCTAGCGATTTTCTGCGCAAATTTTATTAGCTGGTTATAATTTGAGGTATCACCTGCACAATTAAAAATCTTTATTCATCATTCATGGGATGGCATAGGCCTTCTATTAATATAACTACTGTAGGCCTGGGGCCTATCCAGTGCAGTCCAGTACAGTAGTAGGATAAGATATTAATTATATTCGTTCATGAATGAATCAAATTGGCTGAAACATACGATACGATACAACAACAAGTGTTCCATACCCCACGGCCGAACTTGTTTGCGGTCGAAACGGTCCTACACACCTAGTCCTAGGCTAGGTCTACGTACTATACAGTGCTAGGCCCCTAGGAGGCATGACTAGCTGGGCCTTGGGCTAGGCTAGTTAGGTAATGCAAGTAAGTCTCGCCTAGGGGCTAGGCCTAGGCCCAGAAGCAGGCTATCCTAGCTACTACTAACCAGGGGCTAGGCCTAGGCCCTATGTCTAGGCCTAGTAGTAGTAGTAGTAGGCTAGCTAGGCATTGACATTATCATTGGCTTCAATTATATCAACGTATGCCATTTAGAAATGTTATTTATTATATTATTATACAACTTAAACAGTTTTACAATAAATTATTATGTAGAAAGTGACAAGAAATGCATATTTTAAACTTAGCATACGGACCAGCGAGTAACGGATAGGGCGCAGCCATCTTGATAACCAACTAAGAGAGAATACACAACTGGATTAGAAGACTAGCAATCTGAATGGATATTTACACGAACCGATGCGAAATTTAGATTTGTCGGGATCATTGAAGAATGCTTTTTGGTGAGAGGGTTGCAAATATGTCACAAAAAACAAAAAACAAAAAAACAAAACAATATATTGGCTTTGAAAACTTCTTAAATTTACTAGCAGAAATCTAACCATATGCAAAGAAAAGAATAAAATTATTAAATAAAAAAATATTAAAGGATCAAAAGATGTTTACTATTATATAATGACCTTCTATTCACTTGGTTTCACCTATTAGGGGGCCTACTTTAAACTTAGTCTTTTTGAACATAAATCGTGAGGTTGGCCTTGGTGCTGTCGTCTAATGATTTAAGTGGAGGGTTTTTCTATATTGTTGTGTTGTATATTTTTTTATATACCATAATTATATAGTATTTATCATTGTGTCTTGTTCTGAAAAACAATTCGAGGCTGTAGGCCTAAATTTAGCCTATAACTTTACATTACAGTAGGCCTACTTAATTTAGTGATAAATAAATTTTAATCAAATTTCAATTTCAATTATATATCATATGGCAGAATCAGCTGAATTGCATGTTGTTTTTTTTTATACGTTTATTAAATTGCAATATAAATTTAAAACTAAGACTCACAAATATAGTCACATTTTAACTATGAAAAATATCAATGAAAAGATTACAACCTTAACTAATAACGAATATAATTACAGTAAATTACGGAGCATCTAAAGAGACATGGTTAACGAAAATATTAAACTATTTCGAGGGAACGAAATAGTATTTCGAGGGAACGAAATCATTTCGTTCGAACGAACCAATATTTCGTTCGAACGAAATATTATTTCGTTTCCTCGAAATTATTTCTCGGGAACGAAATATTATTTCGTTTAAACGAAATATTATTTCGTTCCCTCGAAATATATTTCCTTCCCTCAAAATATTATTTCGTTCCCTCGAAATAGTTTAATATTTTCTTTAACCATGTCCCTTTAGAGGCTCCGTAGTAAATAAACACTATCAATATAAAAAATATAATTACATTAAATTTTTTCCTTATTGGACATTTAACTATAATATATTAAAAACAATTGATCAATATAAAAATAAAAATAAAAAAAGTTATAGCTTGAAATTATCATTCAAGGTTTCTTAACTTTACATTTTCAATATAAAAATACCAAAAAGCGATATAGGCCTTATAAGTGAAACCAATAACTATGATATTACTAAACAATAATATATTAACAATAATAACAATAATATATAATAATAATAATTATTATTATAGTAATAATAATAATAATAATACAGTAATAATGATAATAACAACAATAATAATGATAATAATGTAATAATAATACATTAATAATAACAATAATGATAATAAATAATAATAATAACAATAATAATAATGATAATATAGTAATAATAATAATAATGATAATATAGTAATAATAAATTGTTCAAATTATGTAAATTAGATAAACAAAATATAAACAGAAATATACATAGAAATCTATAATAGTCAGATTTTTCGATTATTAAAAAAATTGTATTAACAATAATTTGACAATGTTGTTTCTCTTAGTACAAACTGTATATATAGTTTGTGAAGGTAAAAGTGTTGAAAATGAAACGGTTTGTTTATTGGAACTTACTGATCTGGTGATGAGGCCTATTTTTGCTAAAGGGTATTGCCGACTGTGTACATTTCACCACGAAAAAGCTGCGATGGCAATGTGGCTTTTCGGATGCAAAGAGTTATTCTGCCAACAAAGGAATTCTGCAGTAAAAGCCTGTAAATCATCAAATGTTGATTAATTTTTATTTATAAAGTTGAAGTCATGGTAGTAAACGTGATCAACAACACATTCATCTACACGGTGGCCGTATATATAATAAAACGGGCTCACAATTTGGCCAGCAGCATGGATGGACAAGTCTAATCTCTGAAGAGGGCGTAAAATGGAAGCGCGATCTTCTTTTGACGGATATGATGGCCAGACAAGTTGTATCATGTCAAGTAAAAAATTTAAGAAATGTAGTTTCGAATTGAATTATTAATCGACATTATGGAAGAAACTAGTGCCGCGGAGAGTTCATCAAGCAAGTCTGATATCCGTTTAAGTGACTGCATATGCCCAATATGCATGAGCATTCTTCTCGAACCAGTGACAATGCCTTGTGCTCACGAACTTTGTAGGCCTTGTTTTCGGGATACAGTGGAGCAGGTCAATTTTACCTGCCCACTCTGTCGGTTGCGCATCAGTAATTGGGCAAGAAAACAGACTAGGGTAAACAAATTGATAAACTGGACCAGATGGAAAGAAATACAGACAGCTTTCCCCGACCTTTGTAGAAAAAGGCTCGAGGGTGAAGATGACACCGATGGTAGGATTTATTTGACGTTTTAATTTGTGTTTTTATTATTTTATTATTATTAAATAATATTTTAAATAACAGTGACAGGCAGTGACTTGTGAGTGGCTTGGAATACGGTAACATACTGTACGCTATCTCAGATGTTTCCAACCCTACTAATCTTCCTTCATTACCGTGTTAGTGTACGGTATCGTACCTCTTCCCACCCGCACTGTAAATTCAGGCCTGTGTGAGGAATATCCTCTGTGCTACAGTATGGGACTCTTCTATTCTATGTTTGTTTTTATTTCAAATCTGTGGCATAAAAATACAAATGACAAATTGAAAAAAGAGATAAAGAACACGGCCATTAAAAATGGGAAGTAAATGAATAGATTCGGGACAACCCAATTTTTCCTTATTTAAGAACTAGTTTCCATTGGAGTCACTACTGTAAATCATCATCTTGTTGATTCATATTATATTGTTATTGTGCTGTGTGTCATTTGTTTGGTTTTTTTTTATTATTATATTTTGGAGAAAAAAAAACACTGAATAAAGTCAGACATTTGAAAAATAGTATTCCGCATTCCAAACTATTTCGTCATTATTTAACTACTGGTACTTACTAGTGTAATCAATATAAATGATGGGTGTTTGTTCTCTTGTAGTCTTACAACCAGTAAATCCTATCCGTATCTGTCAACCAGGGGAAGTTCGGAAAGAATATGAACAGCAGATGAGAGCGGTAAGTTGTTGTTTCAACTAGAAGATGATATTTGCAGAAAAAGATCATGTCGGTGTACAAATAAATGTTTTCTTTTTCTTGATTCTTGATATACAATCCTAGAAAGCATTCTTGCAATGTCCAAGGAGATGTTAATTGTAGTATAGTAAAACAAGAAAATTTTACAATATACAGTACTTTAGAACCCAAATGAGATTATTTGAATAACTTATGGACTTCTTTTGCAAAAAACATACATGAAACAACATGGCTAAAGCTATAGGTAGGCAATAAGAAGTTACCATTTTTATGTTTTGTTATGCAGATTTTATTTTGAAAGATCTTCAGAGAAAACAAATATTTTTTTTTCTCTAAAATAATCTTATTATTTCACCAAATTGGTTCTGCCATTTAGGCAAAAAAAGATGATATTGACAATAGTAAAAGTATCAGACATACTCTGGGCCTCAACTAGAAATGGCCCTAAACTAGGCCTTTCTCTAAAAAAATAATATTCTTTATCAGGCAATAATTTTTGAGTAATTGAGGCTTTAAATTGCTATAAACTGTTGCTGGTGTACTAAAGTTTGTATACTACAAATTTTAAATTGCAGCTTCAAAAACAAAGGGAAGAGGAAGAAAAGATAGAAAAGGACAAAAGCCAAAGAGTTATCAAAGAGATACAAGAAGAGGAGCTTCAACAGTATGAAGAAAGAAGGCAAGAAGAAGAGAGATTGATGGCCCTTGATGAGCAGCTGGCGAGAAAGTTAGCTGGCAGTGCAGAGCCTCAATTGCATGTATGTTAGTTCTTCAAGACATTTTATGCCAGTTAAATTATTACTTATATTTGTTGAATGATCAGCGAATGTTTTTAGACGGGGTAGGCCCTAAGGTCCAAAGGGGACAGAACCTATGAATGAGGGTGGAAGGTTTGGGGTGTTCTTGTTCAATACCTGTATACAGTAGACCCCTATTAAGGCGAGACTTTTTTTATTCCTTGTTTCGCATGCTTATATTTTTAAAGATTATCGGAGAAGAATGGAATAAAAATAAAAAATAAAATTTTTTTTCTTATTTAGCAAATATATTTGCCAAAATCATCCAGACGGAGGAGAAAATAAAATAAAATATTTTGTTTGTGAATGTATAATAGGATGGTTAAATGCTTCAAATTGATATAATTAGGAAGAAATATGCATATCTTATCTCTGGAGATTTCACGACAGCTGAGGGTGTAATAACAATTTTTTTTTTATTATTATTTTTTTCTGAAATTTCCAGTATTTCGTGGTAGCAGGTATTACGCTAATTGGCCAAAAATAGAATTTTATTTTTATTCAAAATCATCTATATTTGCAGTCGGCGGGTTCGCTAACAAGGTAGGGTATAAAAAAAGTCTCGCCTAAGGGAACACATTCAGGACCGAAAAAATACCTCCTTAGTATTGGTGTCCCCTGAATTGGGGTCCCCTATTCAGTGGACACTAACAAAATTGAAATTGGCATATTTTCATACATGTATGACACAGTACATAAACCAAGTGGTTTACTGATTATATTTATTTAGTATGAATTGTCACTCCAAATATGACAAGGCCATTTTGTTCTACATTTCCCTTTTATATAAGGATCATCAGGAGTAATACTTAATCCAACAAGAAACAAACTACAATATACAGTACAGTACAAGTTGCCAGAAATGCTAATTAATATGCATTTATTTAAATGAGGCAATTATGACCAGTAACCGAAAGGTCCACTGATTAATCTCAGATAAGATAGTATAATACATACTCTAAGTATCAAAATGCACACCATGATGTTGGGATTCAATATTTCAACAATTATTATGTCATGATCAGTAATGGTGATGACATAATTAATGTCAAAATTTTGAATCCCGACACAATGGCATTCATTTCGATATTCGGAGTATATATTACACTATCCTATGACCAGTAAAGTAGGTATTATGACGAGAAAGTATATTGAGAATTAACAGGTCAGAGACTATGGGTGTGTATGGGTGTGTTTGAGCTAGAAAATGAAAAAGTTACATGGGGTTCTCACGGTACTGTATCCGCGGGTGGTCTACCGGTTTGTGCAGAACTCGGCTTTCAAAAAACCAATAACCTCAGATGTAAAACCTAAGGTATGCGAATGATGAGTTTCTATCAAGTTGCCCTGGACTCTTGCGTCACTCAGCTGCGTCACCCTACGCTTTTATTAAGAAACAGACTTTGGCGTTGTTCCGCTGCATTAATGTAGTTGTCTCAAAATCAAGTAATGAAATTACCAAAGAAGCTGCAACAATAATAAAGCATAGCAAACTCCCAATAAATCGCAAATGTGCATTTTGGGCGTATAAACCATGAATAAACTTTCATTTGTTTGACAATTGTAGTTTAAAAACAGAAAATTACTACCACTGTTAAATAAATAAGCAGTGGTGCCATGATCATGTATGCATGTGGCAGACGTATGTACCAAGGTAACAATCTGGATTCTAGACTAGCCCTCAGTTGAAAATCATTTATTTTATCAAGCTTTTCAGTTTTGTTTTTGGAAATAAACTGTAAAAGAAGCAGGGACCATGAAACTTCTGGTGCGTGTTAAAGCAATCAAAGGGGGTTAATGCTCCCTGCTGCTAATGCAAATCAAAAAAGGTGGATGTATTTTTATTTCATACTACCTTATTTTATACTTGTTAATTAAGTGGTTGAACATTGTTACTAGGTGATTGGAAATCTAGCTGATGAGCAAGCAAGACTAGATGAACAACTAGCGAGGTCTCTTCAAGAGGACCAAGATCCACCGGTACCATTTTTTTTTATATGTTTATATTAATTTTGGCAATATGGTAAAACCTAAAAACTAATAAAAATTAATTGTTTTTGAGAGGGCGTCCTAGTTGTTACAGAATTTGCACGCAGAAATTGCGAGATGCGCTCTCTTTATGTTAAGATTGTTGATGTGAAAGTGCGAAAGTAATTGTTGTTATGCGTTGTTACAGAATTTGCATGCAGAAATTTAAGAGTGCGCTATCTTATTATAAGACTTATGAAATCAAGGTAAATATGAACTTGAGGATAGCTAATTTTTATTAGTAATAGATCTTTAACAGAAAACAATTTTTTAAAAGTCGCAAAATTATAATTATCTAAATTTAGGACAACGCATGGGGGCATTAAAAGGTTAAACCATTATTATCCAGATGATTGGCTGCTTTTATGATCTCTTGGTAGAGAATCCTAAGTTTTTTCAAAATAGCTATCCTCAAGTTCATATTTACCTTGATTTCATAAGTCTTATAATAAGATAGCGCACTCTTAAATTTCTGCATGCAAATTCTGTAACAACGCATAACAACAATTACTTTCGCACTTTCACATCAACAATCTTAACATAAAGAGAGCGCATCTCGCAATTTCTGCGTGCAAATTCTGTAACAACTAGGACGCCCTCTCAAAAACAATTAATTTTTATGTTTCATTTTATGGTACATCAAAGCTTCTATTAATACATAAAATTGCGGATAGCGCCGTCATGTTATAAAAGATCTTCGCTTGATATATACCATGCAGTATTCATGGATACAGAGAAACAAATTCTTGTACTGGTGAATGACATTATGTAATGCATAAAATGCTATCTGTACAGTTAAATTTTTCATTTAACAAGTTTGTGTGAATTGCCCATATATAGGCATGATGTTGTCATACCACATCTATTTATGGACATAATGATGTCCCCAGATCCATTTGTGGGCAGATTTGTTTGTCACATAACATTTGATAATGAGGATAGAGCATTAAACAAGCTTTTGTGCACTGCAATAATAGAGATGAATCATAGTTTAATGCCAAAATTGATCAGGTAAAGTAAAAATCAATTAAATTAAATTAAGTCAGAAGGAACACAATGAATAAATTATGTTTGCACTAATTTGTTAACATGTGTCATTATAGGGCATATCAAACCAAACACAAAGGGATGAAGAGTTTGCCAGGAGACTTCAGGAAGAGCTTGAAAAGGTAACCTAATGACTATAATTGTCCAGAAAAATGAATGATAGTAATAATGATGATGGCATAATGATGTTTAAAATTTAACAACCTTCGTTGATTTTTTCCATAGACTTCAATAAACAGCAAAATCTCCAGTAAGTGTTCAACCCCACGATCCAAAAACACCACCAAAATTCCAGCTGCAAACATCGAAAGATTTTTCACAAAAATGCAGCCTGGAGAAAGTTCTCAGAATCTCTCATGCAACAGCTCTGGAAGTTCTTCAAAAGATGATGTTTTACCTTCTTTTGCAACATTTGACAAAGGCCTCAGCCATTCGATGAATGTCCATATAAGGAGCTCACCAGAAAACAGCTGTAGTAGATCAAGCATGGATTCCAACAGTGAAACGCCAACATTTCTTGGTCCATCAACTTCAAAAGTCATTGGAAAAGCTGATGTATCTTTGATATGTATGGAGGATTACAAGGATGAACCTATAGAATTTGATGAAAACTCAAACACAGAAAAGTCTTTCAATGATGATAACATGGTGGAGTCTGGTAATGAAGAGGAAAAAAGTGATCTCTGTTTAATGGAGCCTAGTTTTTCAGCTACTCAGTTTGATGAATGTTCATTGCTTAGAACAAAAGATTTAACACCCAGCCCTATAACAGTTTTAAAGCTGTCACCCCCAACTGATGTTGAAGACGATGAAACTAGAAGCAACCAGGAAGAAGTAGTGCTGAAAACTGGTGGCGCTTTCTCACCAATATTAAAAACTCCACCTACAGGTGTTAAAAGAATTAATGCATTTAGATCAGATAGTGTTGGTAGTACAGATAGCATATCTCATGAGTTGAGTCATTTCCGACCAATTGCGATCTCCCCACGTACAGCTGCAAGAAAACTTGCTGATGGAAAGCCAGCTTCACCTGCACTTATACATAGCACACCAACAAATTTACGGAAGGCTTTAGAGACAGGTGAGAGTGACGTGCTTCAGAAGAGCCCTTTATTAATGGCTAAGTGGTTAAGTTTGGCACAGGAACGGGAGAAAAAAGTCTTAGTAGGTTCCAAATGTGTCATGGCTGGCAAAAGTGTAATCCAAGAACAAGACCAGAAGAAATCATTCGTCAGTAAACCATCACATTTGAATTCAAATAAACTTATGTTATATTCAAAAAATGATGCTGGGAATATTGCAGATAAAAATTCATTAAGAATGTGTCAGAGACCTATAAATGTAAATTCAACTGATAAAGTTGAAACACAGGGTTCTGGTGACATCTCCAAAAAGCAGTCACCTAATTGGCTTTCTCGTGAAAGTCCGGTTGCTGCTACAACAGCAACTGGAAATATAGACAATACATTTGATAATCACAAGACAGAATGCATTAGCGTTCAAACGGCAGATACTGTTAAGCGTAGCCCAGGAAAAGTTTATCACATGAAAGACAGAACACCTTCCCACTCCAGAAGGAAAAACTTGACAAAAATTTTAACTTCTTCGTTTGAAGACACAAACGTTTCTACATCCAAATGTCCCTCGAAAGAGGCGAGAATTGATAAAAGTATTTTGAGCAAAATTGTAAAACAGAAAGAGGACAAACATAGGAAGATGGAAGAAGTAAAGACTGATGACACAAATTTTAATAAATATATGAATCCTTTGGATGGAAAAGAAATTATTGCAGATGAAAAATATATTGATTTGAAGAAGGAACAGGATTCAGAGCTTAAGTGTAACCATGAGATTAGGTGTAATGATGAGATTAAGTGTTGTAATTTAAGTAAGGGCAATGATTCAATTAAAGACAAGAATGGATGTAGTCAGTATGAACAACAATTGGACGAAAAGGTTGGAAATAATTATAAAAAACATAAAGATCAAACACATGGGGCTCATTCAGAGGAGAAAAGCATAAAGAAAAAGAACAAAACAGCCGAAAATCAAGGTCGGAAGCAGCAAAATTATAAAAATTGTAGAACTATTGAAGACATGTTTGCCAAATTTCAAAAGCAACTTGGAACTGATGACTTTAAATCAGGTGAGAATGATGTTCATTCAGTCAAAACCAGCTCAGTAGCAAACTCAAGTGAAAGGAAAATTGATGAAGAGTTCAGTGATAATGAGAGAATACCAAGGTTTACAAAGTCACCAAAATCACCAGTTCAAGACCATCAGATCTTGATTTTGAATCAAACATTATCATTTAAACAAAAAACTGATTCAGGCAAATTGACTGATATAACAAAACCATCTATTCATCAAAGAGTTGGCAACAAAAGGAAATCTGAAGAAACACCAGATGGGAAAAACAAGTTCAAATTCAGGCAAGTTTCATATTCGTCTCCAAGGAAAGCTCAACGTTTAGGATTTTCAGCTTCTCCAAAGAAGGCTAAATCAAAATGCTCGAAGGGGAATACTCATACAAGAAATGATTCTGAACCGTTAAGTCCTGGTACTTTAAAGCACAATCGATTCTTGAAGCTACAAACTAAAGAGGAAAGGAGACTTGAGCAAGAGGAGCTCGATCGGCAGGTGGCTTTAAAGCTGCAACGACAGCTCGATCGCGAAATTAAAGCTGAATTGAACAACGTAAGTAGAGCACGTGGAAGTGAATCAGAGTATCAACTAAGAAGTCGTAAGCCAGCTTATAAAACTGTTTTATGAAATTTACCATGAACTCATTATGCCTTGAATAACTGTAAACTTAATGGTTCTTGATATTTCATTTTTTATCATCACAGATATAATCCCTGATGTTTTCCTTACAAATTTTATCATTTTGCTTGTTCTGTTTTGTTATATTTTCGTTTTTTTACACATGTTTATGCTAGAAAAAAAATGGCACTATTTCATATCAGTTCACAACCATACTATTTCATCATGTTTATGCTGAATATTTATATGTTTCTGCAGTGCATCACAGGTGAGCAAACTGCTACCTGCGAGCTACATGAAGCCTGACAGTGATTTTGTTGCTGCCTGTGTCTGCAGCACAGTTTGCCAAGTTTATTTTAACTCTTTTTGTATTGTATTACCACAAGATGGTCTTTGTTGAGTTTACGTCTTTATGTATATGTATATATATATATATATATATATATATATGTAT